TTCCGATTCTGTGTCTCCCTCTCTCTCTGCCCCTCCCCCGTTCATGCTCTGTCTCTCTCTGTCCCAAAAATAAATAAACATTGGAAAAAAAAAATTTAAATATATTTTATTATGAAATTCTATTTCAAAGTAATTTATTGGGCTTGGACATTAAAGCCAAGTCTTAACAGTTAAGATTGATTTATTGAAAGGAAAAATCTAAACTATGATATACACTCTTAAGAAACAAAACTGATGAAAAGTGGCAAGCAGTTGCTATCTGTTAAAAATTTTTCCCCATATTTGGAATGATAAACTTAATGACCCTAAGAAGGGTGGCAACACTCACCAGTATGAATCTTCTCATGTCTCTGTAGCAGGTACTTCTGTATGAAACGCATGTCACATTGACTACATTGAAATGGTTTTTCACCTTAAAATAATTTCACATCCACAAATTAGTTACTGGATAAAACACAGTTCATAGTTACTATTTCTGAGGAAAGATAAATCTTGAAAGCCCAAATTCTTGAAAATTCCAAATTATCCATAAAATATTTTTATACTATTCATTAACAGAATTTTATTTCCTCAATTTTCCCCCCACAATTAGAAAATACACATTCTCACAATCATAGAAAGATGAGATCAAATCTGCTCTATATCTGAAAAAAAGGAAAAGGAAAGGAAAGGGAGAGAGAGAAGGAAAGGAAAAGGAAAAGAAGAAACAGAGGAAAGGAGAAAACAATCGAAAAATCAGAAGACTAGAAAGAACTCTACAGGTTATCTACGGTATCTTAAACATCTCTTCTTTCTTTTTATCCAAAAGAAGATCCACCCACCTTGTTCTCTGTGGCTAACTATCACTTTATGCCCTTTCAATTATTTTCTCCAGGACTTTGGGAACTTTCAAACATCTTTTTCCTTTTTTTTTTTTTTTTTTAATCTTGTCTCTTCAATCATTCCTTCTCTGCTGGAACCTTTCCTAGTAAGTATTCTTCAGGTCTGTCCTTTGCAAACAAACTTTCCAGAAATCCTGAAACACTCCAACCTTATTACTTTCTCTCATTCCTTTTCACCATTTCTTCTTAATAGAATAGTTTACCCCATGTTTCAAATCCTCCACCACCCACTTGTGCTTTAACCCTTATACTCTGCTTTCTTAAAAGCTACTCGTGCTCTCTTTGCTATTTATTCTAACAGCTCTTCTTCAGTTCTCTATTCCTCTCTATCCTCTATGAAGGTTGTGCCATTGCTGATTATACCCTCCTTGGAACTGTCTCTTCTTTTAGCTTCTGGGATACTGTAATTTCCTAGTTCATCAAACGTACCTTACTACTCTATCTTCCCACCCCATATCCTTTAATTTAACCTACGTGTCCAGTGTGTTTCCCCAAGGATCTGTGATTAGTCTTTAGTTCTGCTCTCTATAATGTCATGTTCTTAATTATCATTTTTTAATATCTGATTCCCAAATTCCTATTTCAAACTCCATCTGGATGTCTTGCAGAGAAAAATAAATGTTGATAGGCTTTTAATAATACATTCTTTAACAGTTTCTCTAACTGAAAAGAACACATTAAGCCAGATAAGTGTTTAATTATATTATATATAATTAATTAATTATGCACATTCGTGCCCATTGTTTTCTCATTTAAAGTTTTCCTGGTTTCCTTCTGATATTCTGGCCTATGAAATCTCTGATTTGAAATAAATACCTGGTTAGTTACAGTCTTAGAAATGAATGACATATACACAAAGATGAAAATAGTAAAGATAATAATCTCTTAATGGCCATAGGCCCATTTTAATTCAAGAAATACCTGTATGAATGAACACATGTCTCTGTAAGTGATAGTTCGTTCTAAAGGCAGCATTGCAGTGCTCACAAACGTGAGATTTAGGGGTTTTCAAACCAAGTGATCCATCCTCATTTATTGTAAGGATCTAGTTAAAAACAAAAAAAGATAAAAACAAAAGAAGTCTTAAAAACATAATACTCACAAAGGTAACGCTTTTAATTTTTTTATTTGTTTTTTAAGTGTTTAATTATTTTTGAGAGACAGAGCATGAATGGGGGAGGAGCAGAGAGAGAAAGAGACACAGAATCCAAAGCAGGCTCCAGGCTCTAGGCTCTGAGCTGGTCAGCACAGAACCTGATGCAGGGCTCGAACCCACAAACTGTGAGATCAAGACCTGAGTCGGAGTCCGATGCTTAACCAACTGAGCCACCCAGGCGCCCCAAGGTAATGCCTTTTAATGCAAACAATGGTCACCAGAAATTATGACATTTTTCCCCCAAACTTGAAAAGGTTATTAGAATAATGTTATCACTAATTGTAGGAAGGTACAATGTGACTCAGAATGGTAAAAATTAGTAGTAAAACCTTGGAACTTGGTTAAATAAGATCTCAGCACTCTGTCCCTTCTCCAAAGCTGATGTCTAACAGAGTCCCTAAGTGCTCTCTGCTAGGGTGAGTATAACTTTATTTTCAATTTCAAACTGTCACAAACATAGGACAAAAGTTTTATGTTTTAGATACATATGGCATAAATATCAATCAGCATAGGACTGGTTAAATAAATCATGGAAAATGAATACAATTTAATGTTATGTGGTTGTAACATAAAATGAGAAAACTCTCTATATATTTATATGGAAAAAGCTCCAGGATTTATTAAGTAAAATATTCAAGGTTTAGAATTTTGTACACAATTCTGCATATTTTTGTATATAAAAAAGTACATACAAGGATATATATTTGTATATGCATAATATTTAAGAAGGGTACACATAAAACATGTATAGTAGCCTTGGTTGTGATGGCGGGAACTTGGCAGAGAGGAGATAAAGTGGGAGGGGGACTCTACACTGTTTATACTTAAATGCTCTTCTGAACTATATAAATGCTACCTGTTGCATTCCCCCACCCCCCCGCCTTTTTTAAAGAAGAGAAAAAGAGCAATCTAAGTTTTCAAGTCATCCAGCATAGAATTTCGAGTCTGGTTCAGTCTAGGATGTCTAAGGTTATTTATTCTAAGACTACTAAGCTACTGTTGAGCACATTCCTAAAAACATTTATTGGATAAATAAATCAGAATGGCTATGGAGAAAGAAGATGGGTGACAAAGAAATCAACCTTATCTTCCTGGGCTTCATGAGGTTGAGACTATTACGGGCCTGGTTTGGGCAGGGCCAGAGAGCAGCTCACCTTTGGGTTTCATGTATTCCAATTTATCAATCATTTGTTCCACATGCAACATTAAACTGACTCATCGGACACACAGCAGAGTAAAAATAAATAATCTTTTTTTTTTTCATTATTGAGAAGAAATGAGATAGCAGAATATGATGTGAAGATAACAAACTAGTAGGAGATCAGATCAGGAGAAGCACAGCAAGTAAGAGGGAAACAATACTGGAGGTGGGGGCATATAGAGTGGGAACTATGAAACTGTGTCCCACATAGGGTACAACAATCTATGTAACATCTTAGGAAATACAAAGGCCTGTGGAAACTGATTAGGGCCTGTAAACACAGCTATGGCCCTTTCTCAAACCTAGAAAACAGGAGAGGTAAGAGGGGAAAGGCTTTAATTTTTTAAAACATTTTTTTACTTTAAATTCAGGAAGACAACTCAGCCTGTACTGTATGTAAATCAATGGTGATTATCATGCAAATTACACAGGATATTTGGGTTCTGGGCAAACTGCCAATGTGGTCAACAAAGCTTCAAAGTCTTATGCACCAGAGTCATAAAGAGAAACATTTGGCACAAAAATGGAAGTGGGTGTCACAGCTTCCTGATGAGAGTCAGTAAGAAGAGAAAGCTTCATCTCTGGCCAGTTTAAAATTTTTTGACCCCTCCAAGTCACAAAATAATATGCAAGTTAACACTGGGCAAAACAAAACAAAACAAAAACAAAAAAAACCCACACAAAATCTTTTAAAACAAGATTCAAAATATCTCGAACATAAAATAAATAACAAAAAGATGTTAAGCACTTTATATAAAACATAACCAAAAACAAGATAGCACCAGGTATTTTTCCACATATGTTGATAACAAATACAAAGATCCAAGTGCCAAAACCCATGGCAGCTCAATAGCTTTCGGTGGCATAGCAACTGCAAGGAAAGGCTCTGTAAGGAACCAATCTGGCCCAAGTTACTTAATGTGAAACGGATGTCATCCCTGACTGTACAAAGCCCTTTTATGAAGAGTTAAGGAGTCCCAGGTCATTGTTTTCTGGCATTGGAGGTAGTGCTGCCTTTTATTAAGGTGGATTTTATAGATGAAACAGCTAACACTGACTTGTGAATAAGAAAACTGAAAAATCTAGCATATTTTTAAATTCAAAGAAAAATTCTTGGACATTTTATATTTAATTTTTTTTCTTTTTTTAGGCCAGAATAACAAACATATTTGTATAAAAGATACTGAGTAAAATTCACTCCAGTGGCTCTTCCAATTTGTAATCTGTTTTAAATAAAACCATGTAATTTTGTTGTTTTACTCATCACTATAGCCCCAGTATCCAAAATGGTGTCTGGAACATAGTGAGACTATAAATGTCCAATGACGTGGCTACCTGCTACCCATACGAAACATCCTCACAGCTCACCACTTTATTCTTTTTAAAAATTTCTGCCAAAAGTGATGCCTTTCAATTTTTCAAAGTTACTGAACAGCGCCAGAGAGGTGGGTATGCCAAGAACAAAAGTCCCTTAGTGAAAAGAAATGGCACAATATACGAAAAATTTTCTTCCTTGGTATAAATGTGGCTTCTGTTCTTGTTCACAATCTTTCAAGATCTTTTCGTTGAAGGCGATCTACCAGTTAAATGTGTCTGCCTTAGAGATTAGCAGTCCCATTTGCTACTAACCCAGTACCATAAAATATTTTTGCTTTTCTTTTCCCCCTCAACATATGAACACGATTACAACCAAAGATTTTAGATTTCAAGGTGTAAGTCCTAAAATGCCTCCTATAATATCGCCACATGCTTTATCGTGCTTCCTGTCACTCCCGCTTTTGGAGAAATACGGCATATTATACAGACCAAGCAATTGGGCTTTATCATGAATAGAGAAATTAGTAGGAGTCCAAACAATACTCAACATATTTTTCTTAGCTGTTTATAAATTTAAGAGAGAATTTCTCAGTAAAAAATTTCAAAACTGAATGGAACTCCTCAATTAATCCACTTTCTTAATCTCATGGTCCATTAGTAGATATAGACACCCCTCAGTGAAAAAAAAGTTTTACTGTCCGAAAAGACAGACATGATTTTCTCCATTCTCTATCTGCTACGTACTATTAAAAGTATTAAGGCATATTTTAAGCTAGTGATTGTAAATTTTATCACACATTCTTTTTTTTTAAATGTTTATTTTTGAAAGAGAGAGCAAGTTGAGAGAGCAGGGGAAGGACAACAAATCCCAAGCAGGCTCCATGCTGTCTGCACAGAGCCTGATGCAGGGCTTGAAACCACAAAACAAATCTTGAGATCATGACTTGAGCCCTGAGCTACCCAGGTGCCCCATCATACATTCTTAAATCAATGTAAACCATCTTCTACACCAACAAAAACCAAAAGACAATGTAGAGGTGATAGTTTAAGTTTCTCATCTGTTGTGAGTCAGTTCACTGCAAGTGGGGGTGGAGAATGAGATCTTCTAAAATTCTCTTTATTCTGGGATGCCTGGGTGGTTCAGTTGGTTAGGCGTCCGACTTCGGCTCAGGTCATGATCTCATGTCTCATGAGTTTGAGCCCCACATCAGGCTCTGTGCTGACAGCTCGGAGCCTGGAGCCTACTTTCGACTCTGTGTGTGTCTCTCTCTGTCCCTACCTTGCTCACACTCTCTCTCAAAAATAAAACAGAACAACGCCAGTCAGAGTGGCCAAAATGAATAAATCAGGAGACTATAGATGCTGGAGAGGATGTGGAGAAACGGGAACCCTCTTGCACTGTTGGTGGGAATGCAAATTGGTGCAGCCGCTCTGGAAAGCAGTGTGGAGGTTCCTCAGAAAATTAAAAATAGACCTACCCTATGACCCAGCAATAGCACTGCTAGGAATTTATCCAAGGGATACAGGAGTACTGATGCATAGGGGCACTTGTACCCCAATGTTTATAGCAGCACTCTCAACAATAGCCAAGATATGGAAAGAGCCTAAATGTCCATCAACTGATGAATGGATAAAGAAATTGTGGTTTATATACACAATGCAGTACTACGTGGCAATGAGA